CATCCCTGTGCGCTGGCTGCTCCTTCAGGGCCTGATCCAGCTGTTGTTGAAACTGGTAGAGCGATGCCTGTCTGCTTCAGTGGAAGTTGGATAAAGTCCTTGCTCTGATGGCCCTTCGTTAAGCGCAAAATCATGGCCTTTTAAGCAGATGTGACTATGGAATCTGGTTTGTCATTGTGTTAAACAAAGAATTCACATGCACGATGTTACTTCAGGGTGTCAGTTCTACGGTGGATGAGTCTAGCCTGAATTTACTGGAATCTACATTAAAATGTATGAATCTTCCTAATAGCTTCTTCTTTTGGCAGCATCCGTACATTTGCAAAGTCACTTTCGCCACAGCCAACGAATCCTCAGCATTGGTCATTAGACCATTCAATGAGAAGGGAACACTAAAGGACCTTATCTATAAGGTACTGTAAATTTGCATTGATTTTTAGACGACTGCTCTGCCATGATATGTTATAACACAGGCTCTAAACACTAGAAAGTGCTTTTTGTGTGTTACAGTGGAATAAATCGAGAGCACTTAGTCGGGTTCTTTTCTTTATAATTGCTTAGTACGAATGTGGCATCTTATATGTTCATTCATAGCTGTGTACCTTTTTTTTTTCTTCTTCTTCTTCTTCAAAGGCTAAACTGAAGGACCCGTTCCTAAAGAAGTACTGCAATCCCAAAAAAATTCAAGGTCTTGAACTTCAGCAAATAAAAACATTTGGGAGACAGATCCTAGAGGTACCCCCTTGTATTGTGTACAGTGCACTTGAGGAGATGATCCTTTTAGTCACATTTAGCAGCTTGAATATATCCTCCGAATGACCAGCTAAGATCTTTATAATGGAGAGACATTAGGGATGTTTCGTCCTTTTTCAGTTAGTTTATTTTGTACATGTGGCTGCACTTTGTGTGTAGCCAGGTCAGGGAATTTCCCTGGATAGCTAGTTAGGCTGCAGTCCTGCAGTTGGATCCTTGTGTGCGGATCCTTCTGCATGGAGCCCTCTTTGTGATGTAAGCGGAGCCCGGCACTGGGGATAAAAGAACTTTTTTCCTTGCTGAAAAGAACCTACATATAGACAGGAGCAGGGATACCCTAGTCAGTGCTCTTGGAAAAATCAGGTTCTGGCATTTAAAAGGGTGCCCTATCTGCAACTGGGATTTTTCCAAATTAGTAAATTTTATGGGGGTGAGGGGAGAAATCAAGTTAGCAACATTGTGTTACATTTCTCATACTCACTTCAATTTACATCATTGGACTTCCAGACAAAATGTTAAAGCCATATTGTAGATTTTGTTGCATCTTACCCGTCTCTTATTTTTAAGACCCACAACAGATAAATCCCTCTTATACCACCTCCAAAAACTTTTCCGTGTGGCTTTGGTGCACATCAAACCCAGAGCAGTTTTCATGTATTGTGAGTGTTTGATCAGTAACCACTCTCAAGACCTCTTGATTAAGGTCATATTGCATGTACTGATAGTGCACTGTTAGCTTATCTCCTCTTCTGCTGTTTTCCTTACGCCAGTCGATTTTATTCCATTAGCACTTTGGTGAGAAATCCTAAATCTTGGCGCTAGTGTTAGGCGCCTCGGGGTTAAAGCGAGGCAGAGGCAAACTTCCACCAGGTGGGTTTCTATGTGGCTATATAGGGTATGGAAGATGTGCGTTTATCATGGTTTTCCTCCCCGGCCATCCCCATTCATCAGATGTCTGCATGCGGGGTTGAGATTTTTAGAGAAAGTAGAAACAGACGTTTCATTTCACTAGTCCTCTCTCAGCCAGAAAACCCTGATGTCCTGCCCCGTCTATCCCACTGGTTCTAGCATGGTGATGTGAAGCAGAGACTTCTGGGAGTTTTCAGAAGCCTTTTGGGGGGCCGGGTGGATTTGTGGGAGCAGAGGTGAAACTCCCATAAGTCTCTGGAGAAGGGCAGTACAAGGTGCATCTCTCTGGGTTGTCCCTTTTGGGGGTTCAGATTCCAGCTACTTACATGACATGTTAAAAGAATCCAAATGGAGCAGATTCTGGTTGAGGAGGCTTTAGGAGACGGTTGTTAGAGAGGCATGTGAGAGCATGGTCCGTGGTGTCCAACACGTTAGCCACGTGTGGCTGTTTGACCAGTTGTGTGGCTAGTTCGCTATAGCAGTAGCCACTATTGTGGCTGACTGGTTGGACACCACGGCTCTAGAGCCTAATGGTCTGGGGGAAATACCACCTGCGGGCGTAGGGTGAGCGTGCTCCTACAGGTGGTGCCAGTTCAGTTTGTGAATGAAGAGCCGTAGTGCACGGCTTGACTCCAAGACAGCGGAGCTAGAAGATGGGAGCTGAATGGGGTGGGAAATGAAAGATCCAGGGTCGGATGAGCTTCTCCATCCGTTGAGCATTCTTTTCAGAACACTCTGAACGTTGTCTGACGGTCGTCCCAACAGTCGCCCTTGCAGTGACCCTTTTCTCTCTCATCTTTCAGGTATTAAAATTCTTACATGAAAAAGGATTTCCTTATGGGCATCTACATTCCTCCAATGTGGTCCTGGAGGGCGATACCTGCAGGTTGCTGGATCTAGAGAATTCCTTGCTGGGACTCCCATCCTTTTATCGATCATATTTTTCACAGTTTCGGAAAATTAACGTAAGTCGTATAAAATCTAAAAGGAGGAATAGATATTTCATACATGACCATTGGTTCATCTTAGATTTGATAGTCAAACAACTATGGCTGACAGTAAATATTACAATAGTCTATCAGCCCTGAAAAGTGACCGTAATGCTGTTGGAGAAGGTGGGATGTGACGCCTGTAGGCTTTGCTCAAATTAGAATGAAATGGAGAGCGTTTTCTCCAAGATGAATGGATTTGTCTACATCCTTCCTCTATCTGGCTCATCAGAACTCCTAGATCCACAGGCATTTGTGAGTGTGGTCCTCCATGCTTTATGAAAATTGGCTTTGAATATGCCTAAGTTTATGCAAAACAGATCATATAATCTAGCCTTCAGGAGATCACAGGTTCTTGAATGTGTCCTAATCTATTTGTGCATGTATCTTTCTTGTATGTGAAGTTAGAAATATTAAGTGGGAGCCTGTTTTACTAGTCTAGATATTCTAGTAAAAGCCATTCGTGATACTTTAGGAGCTCTCTGGCTGGGTGATCAAGCGAACAACCTGTGAATGGTTTTGTTTTTCCAATAAGCCCAAATAGTGGTTGGTCCTACAGAGTCATGTGACCATGACACCTGATGCTGGAATCCATTCTGGATCTGGTACTTTTCCATTCAAGGTGAGAGAAATTTGACCTGAGAGCAAAGAATGCTCCACTGGGCAAAAGGAATATAAAGGTGGGGACCAAACAATAGGGGTTGCCACATGCCAGGAGATAAGATTATTTCTCAGCTGCGGATTTGCACATCACAGTACACTCAGTGTCTGTAGAGACGCTAGATCTGACTTTCCCTCTGTTGGGAAATCTGTCCTGGTGTAGAACGTGCAGGCTGTTCAGCAATATGTCGCCTGGCCCTCAAGTACTCTTTGTAATAAATTACATAAGGTGTCATGGGACAGCTTCTGACCTTGTTCAAGAATCGTACTGGGTTGCCAAAGAAACTGTCAAAAGTTCATGCTTATATGAACTATCATCAAAACGTATGAACATCTCAGCCAATAAGTGCAGCCACATCTGTGTGTCTGCTACTAAACATAAATCTAAAATCCAGGGAACATCCTCTGATAACACTCAAAGTGCTAACTTGGACCCAATGCACTAAACTCTCCTGTATTTTGTACTAATAATTCTTTGGATTCTTTCCTTTTTATCTACTTCGTGGCTGGTTGGAAATCAGTGGTGCTCTAGGCATGTATATTGCTGTTAATAAATTATATATGGTATATTAAACCTTGGTGTTTGCTGTTAAATAATATTAGAAAAAATATGCTGGATCAGGATCTCCTCTCAGCATTATGGCTTTAGGAAAGGCTATATTTATTTTGTAGGAATAACGACTGTGTGAACCTAAAAGTTATGTCAATTGCTAATCTGTATTTGTCACGGCTCCTCCATGCTTTATGAAAATTGGCTTTGAATATGCCTAAGTTTATGCAAAACAGATCATATAATCTAGCATTCAGGAGATCACAGGTTCTTGAATGTGTCCTAATCTATTTGTGCATGTATCTTTCTTGTATGTGAAGTTAGAAATATTAAGTGGGAGCCTGTTTTACTAGTCTAGATATTCTAGTAAAAGCCATTCGTGATACTTTAGGAGCTCTCTGGCTGGGTGATCAAGCGAACAACCTGTGAATGGTTTTGTTTTTCCAATAAGCCCAAATAGTGGTTGGTCCTACAGAGTCATGTGACCATGACACCTGATGCTGGAATCCATTCTGGATCTGGTACTTTTCCATTCAAGGTGAGAGAAATTTGACCTGAGAGCAAAGAATGCTCCACTGGGCAAAAGGAATATAAAGGTGAGGATTAGATAATAGGGGTTGCCACATGCCAGGAGATACGCCTTCCCAAATTAACCATTTAACATGCCTTCTGGAATCATCTAAGACTTAACAGGGGGAAGGATTGGGCTAAAGCTAGGGGGCTGCTTAGCTTGTGGAAAAAGGTTTAGAACAACTGTTTAGGGTAAGGTTTTATATGTAACAATTTCCTTTGTATGTTAGGATTAGCTGGGGTGTGGTGTGTGTTTTTGGTTGAGTAATTTACTTTGTTTTCACTTGCAGTCGCTGCTTCTACCGAATACTTTCTAATATTATCAGTATTAATATTATCACGATGCCCAGGATAGATAATTGTTACTGGGGCAGGGGGAGCAACCGCTGTGCATATCTCTCTTCGATAAAGGGCTTACCTTCCGAGCTTCCTCTGTGAAATTTTTATACAGAGCAAGACAGTTTTGTTGGGGTTTGGTCCCTTTTGGGGTTGGGTTCTTGGGTGCTGTCAACAGCAGTATAGCTGTGCCCTCCCAGAGCTGAGCTGATTCAGGGCTGTTACCCCAACTCTTTGCCTTGGCTGGGGGAGGGCAGAGCTTCTGTTCCCAGCAGTACAGGATGGTGGGGAACCCCAGAGGGCAGGAAGCAGGCAACAGTGGTGGATCAGTACACTGGGGTGCCAGCCCACGGGGACCTCTGTGATCTAACCCCTCACAGTGTTGTCACCTGCAACTGAAAATGCCAGCGGGATCACTTGGAAAGGGGTCATTGATTAGAGGAGCGATTTGGGCTGGGTGCGGTTTGTAGACCGAGTAAGATTGCTCTTCCCTTCCAAACTTAGCACGGGTGGAGTGGGAGCGGAGGAGGCTCATATTTATCAGTGGGGAACTCCGGCACAGAGACACTCCGTGATTTGGTCAGTCTCACAGGGAACCCGCATCCCAGTCCTGATCCCTCCCCACAAGCCGGTCCTCCTTTGCCCCTCTCCCCTATGGAAACCGACGTCTCACAGGGAACCTGCATCCCAGTCCTGAGCCCTCCCCACAAGCTGGTCCTCCTCTTTGCCCCTCTCCCCTATGGAAACCGACATGTGCCAAGTGGTTTGATTGGACAAGCTGGGCTTTTGTCTTCCTAGACTCTAGAAGGGGTTGACGTACATTGCTTTGGCCACTTACTGTATGAAATGACGTATGGGAGACCGCCAGATTCAGTCCCGGTGGACAGCTTCCCTCCTGCTCCGTCGGCATCAGTCGGTCAGTATACTCTTGGGCACGAGTCTCGGGGCAGTCGTAGTCTCCGAGTCCAGTGGCACAGGACTCCTCGGTGTTATACAATTGGGGAGGCTTTAGCGCCTGTTTAAAGTAACTTCAGTCATCTGCCTCTTTCAACCCAGGACATCTTGGAATACACTAGAAACCTGCTTAAAATGTCCTGTGGCTTTAGAAGGAGAGTTCTGAGAATACATCATTTACTAAGTCGACTA